ACTAGTACTAGTACTACGACGACTACGACGACGACTGCGACTACAACTACGACTACTACAACAACTACTACTACAACTACAGCTACTACTCAAATACTGCTGTCACTACTACTATGATTACTGCCTATTGCTACAACAACAACAACAGCGACGACGACTATTACTACTGCTACTGCTACTGCTGCTGCTGCTACTACTACTACTCCTGCTTCTTCTACCACTGCTACTACTACTGCTACTACTATACTGCTACTAGTCGAGGTGACAGAAACTACAACGACGACGACTACTACTGCTGCTGCTGCTACTACTACTACTACTACTACTACTACCCGTGCTGCTGCCGTTGGTGCTGCACGACGACGAAAGCTACTGCTGCTACTGTCTGCTGCTCTACTGTTGCTGCTGTTGGCACGAGCTCTTGCAGAAGGATTCCACTCGAGGAAATCCACAGTAACCCTGATCGACGCAGGGTGTAGAGAGCAGCATGTAGGTAAAGGCGGGAGCATGGGTCGCAGCGCACCAGAGCGGTGAGTCGCTCTAGGCAGCTTTTCATACGGGAGTTTGCCTTCCCAGGAGGTGTCCAACCACGACCTGGGTGTGTCCAGGACCTTGAGGAAGCCGCTCGTCCCAACTTGGCACTCCCCAAGAACAAGCTCGAACAAGAACCACATGAAATCTGAAGGTTGTGCAATTTCGACCGGGGTGAGCTGCAGTTGTGAATCCTGTCCCCTGCAAGACGTTCGTGAATGTTATGTTTTGAGTCGAAGGCTGGTGCGGAACACCCGCATCGCGGCCTCCTCCAGCCGGCCGCTTTCGCAGATGGCAATCTTGGGCATCGAGCGTCCGGGTCCGAGCTGGGGTGAAGACAAAGCCATCAAGGAATGCAATGGTCGTCGTCGATGTGGCGGAGGTGGTGGTGGTGGAAGCAGCAGTAGCAACAGCAGCAGCAGAAGCGGAGCACGAGAGGGAGCCGAAGCGGGAGCGGGAGCGGGAGTGGCAGCAGCAATGGTAGTAGAAGCAGCGGCAGCAGCAGCAGCAGCAGCGGAAGCAGACGCAGAAGCAGACGCCTGGCAGTAGCAGCCGCAGTAGCACCAGCAGGAGCAGTAGCAGCAGCAGGAGCAGTAGCAGCAGCAATAGCACCAGGAGCAGTAGCAGCAGCAATAGCAGCAGCAGCAGTAGTAGCAGTAGTAGCCGTCGAAATAGCAGTGGCAGTAAGAGGTAAAAGTAAATGTAGAAGTAGCAGTAGTAGTAGTAGTAGTAGTAGTAGTAGCAGTAGTGGTAGTAGCAGTAGTAGTAGTAGTAGTAGTAGTCGTAGTAGTAGTAGTAGTAGTAGTAGTAGTAGTAGTATTCGTAGTCGTAGTCGTAGTTGTAGTAGTAGTCGTAGTCATCGTCGTCGTCGTCGTAGTACTAGT